TTAAGATATTTACATGAAAACAAGGCCTTTAAAACAAAGAGTCAAAATGTAAGGCTATTTTCCAGTTTGCACATTGTAAGAAGGCAATTTCAAAATTCCTAAAATACTCAATATCCAATTAAGCGAACAAAAACTAGACCAAAAAAACACGGGCAATCAACACAAATTTGTGTAGTCTAATAATTGTATACAGTGACCTATTGACAAACTCTAGAAAACGCACTTGTCCTTTAAAATAACATATCAATAAGCTCATTGCTAAGGTTCTATCCAATAGGCTGAAAGTGGTTTTAACAAATTTTATTAGTGAAAGCCAAAGTGCTTTTGTCCCTGGGCGCCTTATCTCTGATAATGTTTTAATTGCATATGAGTTGGTTCATTTTCTTAAGCATAAAAGGAAAGGTAAAAAGGGCTTTATGTCTTTAAAACTAGATATGAGTAAGGCATATGATAGGGTGGAATGGAATTTTATTCAGTCTGTCATGGAGGTTATGGGATTTCATGAATCCTTCATATCCATTGTGATGTCTTGTGTTCGATCTGTGTCTTACTCAGTTCTGATTAATGGAGAACCTAAAGGTACTTTTTCACCCTCCAGGGGATTGAGACAAGGGGATCCACTTTCTGGTCTGAAGATTTGTAGGGGAGCTCCAATCATCAATCATCTGTTGTTTGCTGATGATTGCATCATTTTTTGCAAGGCTGATTTGGATGAAAACAGACGGATTCAAAACTTGCTGCACAAGTATGAAGCTGTGTCAGGTCAGAAGATTAACAAAGAGAAGACTGCAATGATTTTCAGCAATAATGTTAGTTTGGTGAAGAGGACTGAGATCAAAAATTTGTGGAGCAACAGTGAGATTCAGCAGTATGAGAAATATTTGGGACTTCCCTCTATTGTAGGAAGATCGAAGAAAGGAGCATTCCAGACTATTAAACAGAGAGTATGGCAGAAACTTCAATCTTGGAAAGAACGGCTATTATCATTGGGAGGTAAGGAGGTTTTGTTGAAAGCTGTTGCTCTTTCTATTCCTACATACACTATGTCCTTTTTTCTTCTACCTTCTACCTTTTGTCAAGAGCTTGAAAGTTTGATGTCAAATTTCTGGTGGGGACAAAAAGGAAGGGAGAGAAAGATCCATTGGATTAGTTGGAGTAAAATGTGTAACCATAAAGCTGTGGGAGGACTTGGATTCAAGGATCTTAGATGCTTTAATTTAGCACTGTTAGCCAAACAAGGTTGGCGGTTGTTTCAAGAGACTTCATCACTGCTTCACAGATTGTTCAAAGCTAAATATTTTCCAAAATGCAACTTCATGAAAGCTGGACTGGGTCATAATTCTTCTTACACATGGAGAGGCATTTGGGATGCACGAAAATGGATTCAAATTGGTTGCAAATGGCGCATTGGAGATGGTAAATCAGTTAATATTTGGCATGATCAATGGATTCCAGGTCATCGATCTTTGCTGTCAGAAGGTTTTGTGGCTACGGAAAATTCCAGGAAAGACATAGTGGATTCTCTGCTTATTCATAATGATAAGGTATGGGATTGGAATAAACTTCGAACTCTCTTCAACCCTAATATTGTTTATGATATAGGAAAAATCTTTCTTTACCCAGATGAAGCAGATGATACAATGTTTTGGTCCCTTGAAAGAAATGGCTGTTTTAGTGTTCGTAGTTGTTATAGGATGATCTATAGTTACATTGGACAGCAGCAAGCAGGTTCATCTGAGGGCCTAACTGAGAAACTACTGTGGAAACATTTGTGGAAGATGAAAGTGCCGAATAAGGTTAAGATTTTCGCGTGGAGAGCGTGCAAAGATGGGCTTCCCACAGCTTTAAATCTTGAGAAAAAACATATCATTACCCAGAGTATTTGCAGTCTTTGTAGTTCAGAAACTGAGGATTTGTACCATGCTGTGATCTACTGCAATAGGATCAAAGGGGTTTGGAATACTTTCTTTCCCGATCTGGTCAAAAATAACTGCAGGTCAGTAAAGGATATGGCAATTGATTTATGTCAGAAAAAAGATGTCTCAAAACTGGATATTTTTTTCATGCTGATTTGGTGTTTTTGGTTCAGAAGGAATAAATTTGTGTATGAGCATATCAGGATGGATCCTCGAAAGACTGTTGATCATGCATTGTTTGCAAGTTTCAATACAGCTAGGCAGATGAATTGTGTTCAGTTCCGAAAACATTTTAAATGGTCACCCCCAGATCCAAATTTTCTGAAATTAAATGTGGATGGGGGCAACATTCCAAGATCTGGGAAGAGCTGGAATTGGGGCTGTTTTAAGAGATTCCTCAGGTAAGGTAATTTTGGCAATGTCAAAGACTGAAATTTGTGTCGAAGAGAGTGAAGTGATTGAGTTGCTGGCCATTCTTAGAGGTTTGCAACTTTGTGTTAACATGGGAATCCCCTATCTTATGGTTGAAAGTGACAGCAAGTTGGTTATTGAAGCACTCCACACAGATAACATGATCCATTCTTCTTTGGGAGGGTTGTATCGGGAAGCGAAACTTCTAGCCACCCGCTTTGTTCATTGCAAATTTTCCCATATCTACAGGGAAGGTAATAGGGTGGCTCATAAACTTGCTAGGTTCGGTAAATTCGTTGATGATATTTGTGTTTGGTTGGATTGTATTCCAGACTATGTTTATTAAGCCATTTGGCTTGATAATCGTCTGTAATCGTTTTATCCAGTTGTATGAAAGTTCCTTCATATCAAAAAAAATATATATATATCAAAAATGAAAAGATAAAAAATAAGATCAACTTTAGACGTTGTAAATTGGTGGTGGGTGAATCTGCTGTAGCTTTGAAAATTCAAGTAGTTGATAGGCGCTGAATAGTTCGTGTATTATTTGTAGCTCATCGATTCATGGTTTCACTTCTGGAAATTATAATCAATAAAATGGAATAAACGGTAGATGGTTCGACAAAGCAACTTGAACATAGAATATTCAAAAACACATAGTTATGTGTGAAAATGTGTATCACAGGACACGGTGAAAATGCAAAAGCAAACTAATTGAGAATGAAGTTTATGTACTTGGTTGCATAGAAGGAACTTGAAGCAACAAAATAAAACCTACAAATAAGGACTTTTAAAATGTGGAAATGATGATTTAGTAAAAGAGCTTTGATTTAAGTGATTAATCACGTTAAATTTACTTCTCCAGCTATATGAAGAACACCTGAAAGTATCAAGAACAGTTAAAACGAGCACATTGACTCGAAAAAATAAGAGAATCAATTGTGTTGGCAATGTTCGATCCTAGTGAGAAGGAAACATCAGGATGTGAAGAACCATTATTACCAGGAAGACCATCAGATGTATAACAATTACATCTGATTTTTGAACAGTTCAAACATCATTCACAATGGAGTTAGGGACACTATTGGGTGGTTAAGATTTTACGTATTGTGGTGGCTTATGCATTCAATTCACGTCTTTTTTTTCGAAGGAATAAATTATCTCAAAACTATAGAAGTATATACCTATTTATAAGAAATATTTGAATCTCATTGAAATTGTATTTAAAATAATTCCATTAAATTTTGATGGAATTATAATTATAACAATTAAAATTAAGTTAATTTTTTTCATTGTGTAACGATTCTTGATCTTGTCGATCAAATATTCTTGTTCTTTCTTTTAATTTTTATAGATATGTCACAACTTTTTTCATCTATTTTGGTATAATGTTGTTAGATCACCGCTTGCAATGTCATCAAATATATTTTACTTCACAACTTTCTATTAATTAGCACTGTGTTGATTGCCAAAATATTTCTTAGAAGGGAATAAAAATAAAAGTTCGACAAAATATTCTTCTCATGCTAATAAAATATTTAGACAGATTCCATCATCAGAGATAAGACATGATAATAGGACGAAAAAAATTCGAGAACACAAGCATGAAAATGAGCAAAAATCGAAAACTTTCATTACAATTAAAATACAGTGCAATTAACCATAATTGGTTTTGCATTCTCGTCGAACTATTTGATCACCAATTAAATAGTGAGTTTGTTGTTGTAGTGTAAGAATACTGACAATAAATCTAGAAATAGCAAAATCAACACATCGGCAATATGTACTAGGAATAATATCTATGACATGTGCAATCATGTGTGATAAATCATGTAAATCAATGCATATTTTTCATATGAATTCAGACTAAGAATATGATTGGATCTTGTTAAACATATGTTTAATATATTTTGGAAAAGAATATTGAATAATGGTGGATTATCGATTATCATGAATGCATGAATTTACTAGATTACGAATTAAGAATTCAATTAAGTGGCAATAGGGGAATTCACAATTTCAATACAAATATTTATATATATTAAAAATACTTCATTTTTTTGGTAGTTTAGAATTAATATAGATTACATATAAACCATCTCTTTTGATATCGCCATACTTCGAATTTAATAGTAGTTATTGAACTATAAATTAGATATTATTCTTCGAGGAATCGATACTTTTAGCTCACAAATCTTATTACTTGTACAACGATCTCGTACGCTTGCAGGTTTTGTCCGAACTAGTTTTTGGCGTCATTATCGGGGAATAAATAATTTAATTTTAATTTATTAGTTTATATTAAATTCGATTTTTATTTTATGTTTGTTTTTTATTTTTGTTTATTTTGGCTACCTACCCCGATCCTCTTATTTGATATTCTATCCAGGTGTCATTCAACAGTGCATCTAAGATTCTGACGTTGGAATGGTAGAAAGATTTTTGCAATAAATAACCACAACATGGACTATGTAGAAGAAGATATATATTGTGAATTATGCTATGGGCTGCATTATACTGGCTATTACGTGAATACATGCATTGGACCCTATCAGCTCAAGCTCCTGTGGTTTAAACAATATTTAAGATGTCGAAGACTAGCAATTGACACGTCTATTGAAGGATGCATGCTTGTGGGCGAGTGTATCCCTTCTGACACATTTGTGGAATTTGTTCATTCCATGTTGAACGAGGATGCAATTGCAAAATACTACACTGATATTGCCAAATTAGATGAAAACAAGCTATATTTTGGAGATGGTGTATTCTAGTATGAATTTAAAAGTTGAGATACAATCTACCCGAAAAGTTTGAAAGAAAAGAGTTTACATTGTCTGTGGATTTAAATTGTGAATAAGTCATTCAACTTGGTGAGATATCAATTATGGAAGACGAGAACAAAGGTGATGAAAGATCAATTACAATTGAACAAAACAAAGAGGAGACAATTAATGAAGAAGACGTTAACCCACATTTTGTCGACTTCATTAATTTCCCTATCATTGAATTCGTAATTAAGCCCGAAGAGAAGGTAGAAGTCTACGTAGTTGTATTCAAATCGGAGGACATAGGCATATAATATCACATAGAGAGGGCAATTTGCACAGCCTCGAAAAGCATGCACGCTCATGGGCCTCAGACACTAGCATCTCTACGTAGTGGGAAATGTAATATTTTTGCCCAAGTTCGGTTAATTTTGTGGAAGTCATAGATGAAGGAGTTTTTGCATTCCCCTAACCCACGTCATAATCTATGGGCACCTCACTCATAGTATACCAATCTTCCGACCCACCAGAGACCGACTCCCCCCAAACCTAGCCACTGTAGCTACTCCCATGTACACGAAAAAGAATCCATTGTACACGAAAAAGAAAAGAGATGAAGACTAGAAAGATTGACGAAGATTCTAAAAGTAATCTTATAGGAAAATACCTAGAGATGATGAGATTTAGAACGTCGCTGGAAAATGGAGAGACGCTAGAGAAGTTTTGATATTTTCGAACACTTGGAAGGATTTGAACAATTTTGCAAAGCAAAGTTCTAAAATGACATAAGTTTTGCCTTTTATATGAAAAGAGAAACAATCGTGGTCATTGGATCTAGGCCCATTGAATCCCATCCAATCAACCAATAAATTAATTTGCCAACTCATCGGTGCTTAGGATAAGATGAGCACCGGTGCTCATTAGAACATTTCTGTATATATATATACCACTTTTATGGTTAATTGCACTGTATCTTAATTGTAATGAAAGTTTTCGATTTTTGCTCATTTTCATGCTTGTGTTCTCGTGTGTGTGTGTGTGTATATATATATAATCCATTAAGAAATCTAAAATTAGTTGACACAATTATTTAAATAACTCTAAAACCATACCTTTATATTATCACCCACTAAGAAGTCCAAAAGTAGTGGACAAAATTATTTCCATTACTCTTTTATAATACTTATTTTTTCCTATTTTTTATTCAAATGGGACAACATTGTTAAAATCTCTTATTGCAATGTTATCAAACAATTCGCTAGTTTATGCTAATGGAAATGGATGTAATGACTACAGGTTTAAATATCATAATTAATTAATGCTGGGTAACTAATTTATTATTAAAAGAGAACATGATTTTAGAGTAACTTCCCCACAGGCATGGACATTTCATAGACATTTTTCTTGCTTCAAAATTGGAATTGGAATTTGAATTTGAATTATGTAGTGTATGATTTAGTCGGTAGAGAAAGAAATGTAGAATTCAATTATCAACATTGCTAAAAGTCACACATTTAGCAAAGTTTACCAAACGTTGTGAAATGTAAAGTTTTTCGCAACGTTTGGCAAACGTTGCTAAAGATGACTTTTAGCAACGTTGCCAAATGTTGTGAAGAGTCTTACCTTTCGCAACGTTTGAT